CTCTCTCTGTCTCTCTCTCTCTACTCTCACACGCACATACACAGTGACAGCCAACAGTCTGTGTCTCTAAATACACAAACACAGTCTTTCTCTCTCTCTCTCTCACACACACACACACACACACACACACACACGTTGCTCTAGGCTCAGATTGGACTCCCTAATTATGCATTAATTGTCTGGCTCTGTCTGTCCAGCTGCCTCGTGTGTAAAACACAGAGCAGCGGCCTGACTGATCACTCTGGACCAAAATATATTGTGAATGACACCAACAGTTGTGTGTGAAAGAGAGAAAAGGGTGAGAGTGAGACAGACAATAAAATCAAATGAGAGATGCAGAGGGGGAGGGAAGGATGGGTTACAGATGGTACTTATCATTGCTTTAACTGCCTCTCAGTAGCTCTGTTTACATGCATGCATTACATGCAGTGACCCAGCTACTGACTATACTCCAGTTAAAAAAAGAAGTATATGTTAGATACTAAGTGATAAACACAAAAACCATCCAAACATCCTCAGTAGATTGTTACACTTTAACACAGACTGTCTTCACTAATAATAGGTGACTATTATAATCTCACAAAAGACAAAATTATTGCTTCTAGCTGCTCTGAAAGTGTGGATTCAGCTATTTCAATTATATTCCATTATGTCTGGGCAAGGTCTGTCAGAGACTGAAAAATGTTAACAAAGGATGACACAAGAATAACACAGCTGATAATATATTTCCACAGGAAGCAAATGTGATCAGTATTGTGTGACTTGCTAAACGAATCAATACTAAGCATTGTTATCTGTACCAGATTTTATGGCAATACATTCCATAGCTGTTACATATTTCACTAAAAACAAAACTTTCATTGTGACACTAAAGGAAAGTCAGTAGCCTTCATCCTCTGGGGACCAGGAATGTTTGTACAAAATGTAATGGAAAAACATCCAAAGATAGTTGTTGAGATGTTTCAATCTGGACCAAAGCAGTGGATCAAGTCACAGACCAATGTCTTATTTAGCATGGCTAAAAAGAATCTTGAGGCCTTGGACTAAAAAACAGAAAACTTTATTATTTTAAGGGTTTGTCCTCTTAATGTCATCATGTTTACAAGCTAATTTTTCTTAGTGTAGTGTAGGAAACCACTAAGATTTCACAAATTTTGAAGAAAGATGAGAAACCACCAATCTCCCTCAAAAACAGCACGTGATGTAGACCATTGATACCATATTCCTTTTGCTATGAGTAAACATAAGTATCAGAATATCCCAAGAATGTAGACTGAGTGAGTTATTTAAAATATGCATGAAAAGGAGCATGCACAGTCAAGTCTTTGACTGAATAGTTGTTTTCTTGATTAAAACATCCAGTGTTTAAATTCTGCTAATCAATTTAATATAAAAATTTATCCATAAACACGTTTTCTCCTATAGACTCAGACGTTAACATAGCTGTAGTAATATTGGAGTAACTCTTAACTAGATTTCTCACAAACATTTTCCAACCTTCAACCTTAGGTTTACTCTGCATGTGCCACTTGAGTTAATGTGGTATGTGTGTGAGTGTGTATTTTTCCCATGGACCACTTAACGGGACTCTTAAATCCTGAGTGCTGTCTAAAAGTACAGCGCTTCGTTTACTCACACATTCTTGCGCGTTTGCTTGTCTGGCTTTGCTGTTTGTGTTGGCGCAGAAACAGAGGAGGATTTTCTTATGGGCTACATCCCTCTCACAAACTCGGAACATGAGACTCGGTTTGTAAAACTAATGTTGTTACTCTTGAGAGCTACTGAGCTAATAGAACAAAATGTTTAGAGAGAGAGAGAGAGAGAGAGAGAGAGAGAGGATACTGCACATGTAAAGAAAACGAGAGGGTAAAAATAGAGGCAAAGGGAAGTGAAAAAGTGAATCAAGAGGAAGTGAAAGAATACAACAATAGAGAGAGACATGAGATCTGTTCATCAAATGTCAACGCTTGACTGACCCTTGACCTCCATCTGTTTTGCGGGTCATGGTGAATCACAGCATCTGACCCTGGTGGAATGTGTCTGACTACTAACACACATACACAACACTGAGCAGGCATAGTGTGTATTTTTGACAGCATATAGAGGAGATAATAGGTCTCCTATATGTACTCCCTGCCTTCCTTTTTTCCTTCCATCCTTCACTCTCTTTCCTCCTCACAGTAGAGTGATAACAAGGCGGTCATCCCTCCGCTCCTCTCATCTCTCTTTAGACACTTTTGAGCAAACACTCTTTTATCTTCCCTGTCTGCATTTCTCTGCCCTGTTATTAAAACCAGCCTGTCAAAAAAGTGTAATTCCCAGAAGTCCATCCTCCCCACTCTCGGCAGTGTCTCACAACAAATAAATTATTTAAATGTAGATTTTGTATTCCGGAAATTGATGACATGATTAATTTATGTTATCATACAGAGTACGGGGTTGGGTTGTTCATTAGCAACATATATGTCCAGAATATGAATATTAATTTGAGTGTAAATCTCTGGCTTTTTAATTATACTTAACTTAATGTTTGGAGGGTTTGCAATGTAGAAAGATTTTTGGGAATGTTGTTGAGTGGTTGTTTACTGTTGCTTCCCCAATGCATCCATTATTTACTCCATAAAAATATTTCTGTGAAAGTACTGCTGCATATCTTACAGGAAACATGCCCCCATTCCCCGTATCTTCCTCTTTCTGGTATATCAGTTAATTTTATCTTATGCCTGGCGAGCACTGTGTTTCATATAGGCCTGCCAAAGTGTGCATTATGTAATATGCTGTCCATATGTCTTTCTTTCTTGTTATTCTTCTGTGTTACTGTACCATAGGATTTATGATACTGTATGTGCTGCAGGGACTTCATTAGCAGAAATGGACTTTACTTTCACAGCTCTCCTTGCTTCCCCTCCCTCTTCTTCTGCCTCTCCTCTCTGTAATGCAACCTCCTCATCACATTTTAGCTAGATGTACAGAGAGTTAGAGAGAGCTATAGTGTTCTCTATCCCCACAGGAACCAGTTTGGGTCCATGTGCCCTCGCTGCTACTCTCCCATTGATATCTGGGACACTGTGTGCATCCTAATGTCTCTGTTGAATGGAGAACACTGACAGTGATGAGGGCCTTCAAGCTTCCCTCAGGGTCCCTTAGCAGACTTAAAGTTTAGATGCAGACCTAAAGTCATGGCAAAAAAACTTTTCAAAACATCCATAAAAACTTAAAGCCACTCCTGCAACACAGTCCACTTCTTCCATATATTTAGTAGGTTCCAAACAAACCTTGTTTCGCTAACAGTTAAAATCATTGTGGTTTTATTATTTGTCTTTGTCTCCACTTGTTCTCCAGTCCTTTGAGATGAAATATACAGTACTTTCTTTTCCAGTTACTGTTTTATGTTTGAAGTCTGAGTCTTTAATCATACTCTTTCTTTCTGTCTTTGTTGTTGTTTTTCTTTGCAGTGTGTAGTGGGACTGTAACCGTGCAGGTGGCTCCTAAAGTGGAGGTGTTGAAAGGAGAATCAGCCAAACTGCCCTGCACATACACTGTCTCAACATCATCAAGCAACACTGTTGTTGAGTGGTACATTGTAAGTAATTTTCAGATATTAATGTTATTTATTTCAATATTTTTAGACAGGAAACATGTTTTTTGACCAGAAAGTATCACTGTCAGAAGTTGTATTTGTAGTTTCAGGTCTCAGGGGTCAGGTCCCTTTTTTTTCTCTTATATCTGTTTCTATGTCTTTTTTCTCCTTCTTCCATTATTCCTCATGCTTCCCCCCTCCAGGAGCTGGAGCAGGGAACTGCCAGGAAGCGTGTAGCTTTCCGCTCCCAAGGTGGCGAGGGAAAAAGTGATGAAGGCACCACTCTGACTGGGCGGGTCACTATCGGAGAGGACTTCACCTTGACCATCTCCTCGGTTAAACCCTCCGACGAGCTAAACTTCTACTGCCAGGTCACCGCTGGCCCTGCCGGGGTCGGAGATGCTGCCACTATGCTCAAAGTCTTCTGTGAGTCAGCCAGTGCCCTTTGGCCTTTTATACGACGCTAACATGACCTTTTCAAAGAGCCCCTACCCCCTCTCACTTTCCCTTCAGTGATGGGAGGAATTTATGACTTGTTTTGTTACTGTCACTCCCACTAAAGGTTTATGGCTTTAATCAGATCTGTGTGTGTGTGTTGGTGCATACTTTCATTTAGAAGTGGTTTAATTGTACCTAATCCATATAATTCATTTTACTGATTGCATTTTGCACATTCTCAAAATACCTCCGTGCAAAACCTCTTTATAGATGCAGTATATAGTATCAGAATTTGTCACTGCATCTGTCTACTTCTAGTAGTAGACTTCTAAAGCAGATTTCAGCTCATATTTTTTTCATCATGTGGGACTTCAGAGCATAGTCCTTTGATAAGTTCCCCAGAGGTCAATTAACCACAATCTAATCACTCTTGACACAACTGATAAATAGTTCAATCACACCTGTCATGTCTCATATATCTCACCTTAATAACGGTCCACATTTATCACCAAGGCACTGGGGGCTGACCCCTGATGCTGGCGGCTGTGTCCTTGTCCCTCCCTCCCACAGCAACCCCTGAGCAGACATCAATCATACTTTTAACATTCAGTGGTCTAACCAAAATGAATGTGGTCTTACCAACGATTCATTTGCATTTTGGATTGGACTGATCAATCACTCTAAAGAGGGAAAGATTTGCGTTGGGAGAATAGCAAAATGACCTTTTCTTTAGCTCCCACTTGAAAAAGATCTTACAAGTTAGCCATTAACATTTATGCACTCAGTGGGACTGGAGTTTAAAGCAATCTCATAAAATAAGCTATTAATTGTGAATGGGCCAGTCAGTGGTTAACAATACCTCAATGCAGTGCTGTTTGACAAAGGCCTTTATAGATGCACTTAATGCCCACAGTTGTAAGAAAACAGCCTGTCTCACAAACCAGCAATTATTCCTTATCCACATTTGACCACTTGACTCATTGAGGGATGAATTATAGTGTGTCTGTCTTGCCTTAACTTAATAGGACTGAGTTATGAGGTCTTCTGAGGGTTGAGCTGCAGCAGCAATAGCCTGGTTTCTCTCTGTCGGGAGGCTTGCAGTAGGGAGTAAACAGTGTCTTCCGAGCAAAAACACACATACACATAACAAAATCATTCTGCATCTACATCTCTGTGTGTCTTAACTCTCTTAACTTACTGTTACTTATTTAAAGCTAAAAACCTTTATTCGGCTGAATGTAAGAGGCTGTAAAAGAGAGTTTTAGTCATGTTCAGAGTGTTTAGTATGAAGAAACCAGCTTTTAAATGTCAACCTCGTCCTCATTGTACATCTAAATTACTGAGTGTACATACAGTATAACTGCCTCCACAGTGTGTGCAAAGGGAATGGCTATAAAAATGCCTCAGCTTTAGGACTAAAAACAAAAAATTGAGCGAGTGAGACAGAGAGGAATACCCATTTACTGTTTATTTTTATAAGCAGTCGACAGCTGCAGGCAGTGATAAGATGACCTTGCATGTGAACAAGTGAGCTAGGGAATAAAGCAGAGAAGAGAAACAAGAGGGAACACTCACACCTGTGGTTGTGTGCGTGTGTGTGTGTGAGACGAGGAGAGATTTTTTTTGTTGTTGTTATTTGACCCTTATCAGCTCATGTGAACCAGGTCACTGTCGAATAATGTTAGGCAGGATATTTACTGCTCAACTTAATTAACAAGGTCAGCAGACATGTGGGTTGGAAAGCATATATGGAAGCGGAGAGTGTGAGTTTGCGTGTGTGCTTGCATCTACGTTAAAGGTTTTCCTTGCAGTGAATCATAATGAAATAATAATGATTCCTCCCCTCCCTTTTCCTGTCTCAGTTGCTCCCGAGAAGCCAGAACTCACAAGGCCGTCAAGTCAGGCCATTTCTGCAGGAGAGACTATCAGCTCCGAGGTGTGTGTGCAGTTTATAATATAATTTTGTGTGCATCCTGCGTGTGAGTGCATATTTTCTCATTTCATATGAGCACTAAAAATGTACATTTTCAGTTGACTTTATTGTGTCCCACTTGTATTTGTCCATGTGGATCAGATTGGTACCTGTGTGACAAAGAATGGACATCCCCAGCCAAGAATCATCTGGTTCAAAGATGACCAGCCCCTACCTGAGGTCAAGGACAGGAAAGAGAGTATGTGTCATCTGACTGTTAGAATTTCATGAAAAAAATATAGCCTAATATCCTACGCTGCACAAAGCAGCCAATAATCTGAATGCTTTGCTTCCTTCTTCCATCCCTCCTTTCTGTTAGAGACCTACATGATTCCCTCTGTGGTTAAGGAGGCCTCCGGTCTCTACACTATCAAGAGCACCCTGTACATGCAGCCCACCAAGGCAGACAAGGACTCTGTGTTCCAGTGCACCGTGGAGTACAGCATGCCAGGAGACCAGATCAAACAGAAGAAGTCTGACACCATCACCATCAACCTCAACTGTGAGTGGAGGGGAGGGAAGAGTTTTAATTAGTGAGCGTAATGGGTGCTGTTAGAGTAGCTGAATTTTGTTCCCTTCAGACTGAACAAGGAAACTCTATTTCCAGTCATTATGCTGAGTTAAGCTACCTGGCTGCTGACTGTAGCCTTATTTGCTGGACAGACATGGTATTGATCTCATCTAACTCTCGGCAAGAAAATGAAAATGGTACTTCTACTACCCGAATGTCAAACTATTGCTTAAAATGGCAGTGATTAGACAGCATCCGACAGTCCATGAACTATGATTGTTTTGCTATGTAAACACATACAGTAATTACATAATATGGTTTATGAGCTAATTTAATGAAAATGTGGTGGGATACCTCAGTTGTTATAATAAGCCCCGCTACCACCTCTGTGAAGCTTTACTTTGCACATTTGCACACAATGCTAATGCAAACATGCCGATGTTTAGAAGGTATAATGTTTGCCATGTCCACCATCTTAATTTTGCATCTTAGCATGCTAGTATTTGTTGAATAGCAATAACAAAGTACTGTTGAGCCTGATTTACAGGTATTTACTTATAAACCAAATTATTGGATAGTTGTCATGGCATTTCAGTAAAAGCCAAAAATGTCTACCGGCTGGGGGTGCAAGAGGAAAAGTCGGGGGATCTAAAAACACAAAAAATAAACAGCTGTTTATGTTATCTTCACTTCCTGGACCCATTTCATTGGTGGCATATCTTTAATCCTGCTTAACACTATAGTTTAATGCACAGTGGGATTTAATGTTCAGCTAAAGAAGAGTGATGAGGTAAGGAAAGAAAGAAAGAAAGGTAAAACATCCGTTCTGGAATGCATTTCACATCTCTGATTGATGATATGCAGTATAACTATGGAAAAGTATCCAAGGAGGAATTTTCACCTGTTCCATGTCCGTCTTCCTCCATCTAGATCCCTCTGAGAAAGCCACCTTTTCCCTACTCAACACGGATCCAGTCAAAGAGGGCGACGATGTTACTATGAAGTGTGAGACTGATGGAAACCCTCAGCCTGAGTTTGACTTCACTAAAAATGTACGTGTGCATTTTACGTTTAAGAGAGGAACGGCAAACGTTGTTTTTCTACTTTTGCTACATGTATCCCAACTTTTTTCTAAAAATCCACAACATTCATGTCCCTTTACCTTCAGGGAGATGACATCAAGGGTCAGGGTGGTCTCCTGATGCTAAAATCTGTGAAGCGGACAGACAACGGCGTGTACACATGCACGGCCACAGATTTCGATAACCTGGATGCTGACCTGAGCGGAACCATCACCCTCACTGTCCACTGTGAGTGAGCCAAAGACACACACACCACTGCAGAATTAAATAAATGCACATAAAGAACAATTTACCTCCTGTTTGTTCAGTTTCGGCTTTGCACTAAGACGCTCGTTTTATCCGTAAAGCATAGAATTAAAAGGGTTAGAATGGAATGAGCTTTAATGGAATTCCACTTCAATTTTCACAGTTCATCTGTTACATTAATGTTACCCCAACTACACTCCCTAATTTTATCTTATCGCACACATTAAGCGGAGATAGCCCAGAAATAGCATGGAATAGGCTTAACTTGAACTTCTAAATGGGCTTAACTTCAGAGTAACTGCATTAGCTTTGTGCTTACAAAAAAAAGAAATATTCTGCTTAGTACGACCATTTAAACAGCCTTATTACATGGTTGTTTGAGCGATGAGAAGCTTTTTTTGATTGTAAGTGGCACTTAAACTCTTTAGAATGTGTGGAAGGCCTCAGTTTTCATGTGTCTTGCTCCCTCTCTCTAAGTTGCTTCCCATTTTGTCTCTGTCAGACATTGACCCAGTGAACGTGAGCCCTGCCCAACCCCAAGTCGTCATGCTTGGAGACAAGGTGGAGTGGCAGTGTAAGACCAAGGCCTCTGCTGCACATACTGTTCACTGGAAAAAGGTGTGCCCCATTGCTTTCTCAATCTTTCCTTCCCTTCTCCTTTTTATAAACAATTTTGTATTTGGTGTGTAGAGTCATCTGTACACAGAGCATTCCTAGATAACAGTTTTTTAAAATTGTAAACCTCATGATTCTTACGTAATAACAGCACTGGCTGGATGTTGAACAAGAATTCAGTCCTTTCTGGGACTCCATATTCGGTCATTTTTTGATTCGGGTTCAGCTTTGATACATGTTTTTTTTAACAACACTACCTTTCTTTATTAGATAAGACAAAATGTCATCATGTTACAGATACAGTAACTTACTTATTTGTGCAGCTGTTATACAACACTGTAGCCTTTAGGTCTGAGGCAGTGCTCCCTTTAAAGACAGTTGTGGTCCTGCTACACAAGCTGTATTGTGTTAGTGTCCAATTTTAGCAACTGGAGAGCAGTTAGTAGTGTTTATTTCATTTTATGAATAAGAAAAAAAAACACCAATAAATATTGTACACTATTAGTATTGTATGATATACTGACATCTTATGTAATCTATCATAACTCGTAGGAATTGTTTAGTTAGCCTAAAATGGATATCCACCTGCAAGAGACGTGCAAGTTCAGTATATGTTAGGATTTTAGTTTTACAGTAGCAGGATAATGTATTCTCATGTTAATTAAAACATTTAAAAGTGTCTGAGTTAAAATTTAGACATGCTAGCACCGCAACAGATGATTAAGATAATAGATAATTAAAATTATTTTTGAGTTTACCTTTTCTATGTGTAGCAGGCTAGAGGTAATAGTTGACAGCAATGAAAAGCACTCCTTTTCTACTGTAAACATACCAAAGAAAAGACTGTTTGTTAACTCTTACAGTCTATTTGAAAAGACTCAGTTCATTTTGACAGTGGTGTGGTAGCAGTGGTGTTTTTTGGTATTCATCTCTTCTCATCCACTTGTGATGTGCAGAGTGTTCCTGCAGTGTCAAGCCTGTTGGTGTTGCCTGTGTATCTATTGTTGTGTCTCCTGAGTGTGATAGAAATTCACTGACTGCTGGTTTTCTAGGTAGAGAACGTGTTTGTTCTTCCTAAGAAGCATTCCTGTGAGAAGAAGTTGAGAGGAATTGCAATAGATGGGTTCATCATAAAGGACTGACTTTGATCTGTTATCACTGTGCTTTGGAACAGTGTGTGTGAATATTCTTTTTCTGCTTTCCCAGCCCAACTGTGCGCTTTCAAACCAGATATTCACAGTGCTGTTTTTTTATACACACGTGAGTCCATTTGGGTTTATTTCTGAGTGTCTGTGTTCCTCCAGGGCTCCGAGGTGCTTTCTCAGGACGGCACGCTGTCATTACAAGATGCTACCTATGATAAAGCTGGAGAGTACATGTGTGTTGGGGCAGTGCCATCTGTGCCAGGACTGACAGCTCAGGCTAGTGTCAACCTCACCGTCAAAGGTAACACACTGGCATAGACACACATATTCACTGATCTACATGCACAGACTACCTCAGAAAAAGCAATAAAACTGTGTTTGGACATGACTTAAGTAAAGATTAAAATCACCTCACATCAGAATCTTATCTCACACACACAAACACCCACACAATTCAGCCACAGTCACACAACTGCAGCTTGATACTTTCTTTCCTAAATGATCTACCATTCTACTACTACAGACACACGCACGCACACACACACACACTAAACAATGGTCGGTGTGAGGTGTGTGCTGAGTATTGTTTTAGTCAGAGGAAAGAGGTTGTTTAGTTCATGGATGCAATTGAGAGAAGGTGTGGCTTCCTACACTGTTAATAATATAGTTTCAGTATGTGATGAAACTATTAGTGCACTGTAAAACACCATAGTTTAGTGGAATCAACTTTTCTTTT